CACTTAGGATATTAGCATCTACTATGAAAATAATTTGAGAATATCTCTCTAATCCTAAATTAGAACAACTAAGTTTCCCAAGCCTTGGACCCAAAATAGCTTTACAGAATCACTAACTATACATAATTCATCGACAGCATGATGGTGAAGCCCTATATTTAATCTAAATTTGATCAAACTGGGCCAAAATTGAAACAATGAATTGTGTTTATTAAATGTGTCTGTTATAATGTGCACATTTCTTACCCTCATAAGAATTTAAATAAGAATAAAATAAAATTCAAAAGGAAAAAATTGTTTTCTCCATAGTAAATGGAGAGAGTATATCACTGTCTTCAGTGAGTTCTAGAAATTGTTTCAGGATTCATCCTAAATTAAGCCGCTAGATATTTTAAGAAAATTTTAATCTTAAATAAAAATAGATTATTTAACTTTTGGAGAAATACCCTGAAATTTTCCTGAATCAAAGGAATATTTGGACTACAATACATATAAGAATAAAAATAAAATATTATATTCAAAAAAGAATGGACAAATCAAAGCACAATTTAAATGCATGGAAGGAATATAACAAAAAATAAAATTCATTAAGACTGAAAATTCCTCCATAATCAACCAGAATTCTCTAACACTAAAGTTAAAGCAACATTTAGCAACTTCAGGAAATAGAAAGACAAAGACAACAGACAGTACAATACTACAAAACTGACAAGGAAAACAAAACAGAAGATTACAGATCAAGTCGCATGCAGTTCTCACAGAGTAGAAAATATTTATAATTTATTCCTCAAGATTTACAAAACGATTTCCATTTCCAGAAGTTAAATACTAACAGAGAAAATTTCAATATATCATTTAAAACTTACTGCTATAAAAATAAAATTTTTCAAAAGTATACCCTGTGCTTAGAAGTAGGTAGGTTGACATCAAGGAAAGAAGTATGCTGAACAATCGCTGAAAGATAACTGGAGAACTCAGGAGTGGAACAACTAAGGAAGATGCTGCAAGAAAGCAAAGCCAAGTCATCTGTTAGCACGAAAGACACAAAAAATGTTAGATTAGAAGATCTGAACAATCTATTATCATTTACAGCAGTTATTGTTTGTATGATCTTAATATGAGGGAGGATATATTTGCCTAATCATTTCTGTAAGAAATCAGAAACTTTACATTTTTAATTAAAATTATATTTCATTGTTTTAACTATATTTTTGTTTTAAATAACACAGATTTTCTTAATTTATATTCAACCTGGATCACTGCAGTAATTTAACTCCTAAATGAATATTCTGTTATTTTCTAATGAAATAAAAAAGATCACTCAAGATTCAGAAACTCTTCTTTAATCAGGCATTTATATCTTCGTTCAAAGACAACTTACTCTCCAGAATCTGATTTTTCCTATTTCCTTCCTCCTCCACATTTTCCTACTGTAAAGTAAGCATTCATAAATACAGTGTGCCACTTGGAAAATTAGAAACAAGAGAAAATGACTTCCCCATGCATGAGAGTTGTAATAAGAACAATCTTAATGAACAAGGTAATCTGAGAGCAGGATACTGAAAGCAACTACCCCTCAGTGGAGGAAGGGCAAGTGAACAGGGTAGGCCAGCAAAATATAAACCCGCTCATCTCTATTATGGGAAGGAAATGTGCTTAACCTCCTAATCCCCCAGAGCTCCACAGCAGTGGTCCCCAACCTTTTGGCACCAGGGACAAGTTTCATATAAGACAATTTTTCCACAAGTAGGGGTCAAGTAGGTAGGTAGAATGGTACAGGAGACAGAACTCAGGTGGCAAGGCTATGAGGCCCTGTTCATACCAGGACCAGATCAGTCTGCAGCCCTGCTGTTGTCACTGTGGAGAAAGATGACTTGAGAGGGAATCTCAGGTGAGTTACTTATCAATTGGTTAACTGCAGGACAAGTTTGTGAACCCATCTATGGGTTTATCCATATGTCAAATAGAGATTACATTAGAAAAATGTTCTGAGGTTCAAATGCAATTTCATCTATAAAATATGGCCTGTGCATAGTGCCTGGCATAGTGCAGAGTAACTGTTAGCTGATGTTATATTACTAATCAACATTTTATAAGTTAAATGTAAAGACAAATTCATTTCTGGCTGAGCAAGAGGACTGGCTAAAAAAAAAAATTGTATTTTCATTCAAAGCCTAGGCACTGCAAGATTTAAGACTATGCAAATTATACTTCTAATACCCTTAGACAAGTAGCTTGACTTTCAGACATGTACAGATAAACGGATAAAGAAATGCAGTATATACACAGTAGAATACTACTCTACCATAAAAAAGAATGAAATCATGTCACTTGCAACCACATATTAATAGATGGAGTTGGAGGTCATTACGTTAAGTGAAAAAAGCCAGGCACAGAAAGACAAGTATCATATGTTCTTATACATAAGTATAAGGAGCTTAAACAGTTGATCTCCTGGAGACTAGAGAGTAGAAGAATAGACACCAAGAGGTTAGAAGGGGGTTTGGTGGGTGGGGTTGGGTGTGAATGAAGAGGGGTTAGTTAATAGGTACAAAAATATAGTTAGATGTTGGTAACCATAAAAAAACAAAAAAAAATCCTTTTTTTGTTTGGCACTGTAGATGTTACAATAAAAGTAGCTGTTTGGTAATCATAAATATATATAGTTGCATAGAAGGAATAAGTTATTAGTGTTTGATAGCACTGCAGGGTGATTACAGCTAACAATAATTTATTTTATATTTTAAAAATGTGTATTAATAGAAGATTTGGAACATAATCTTCCCAACACAAAGAGATGACAAATGTTTGATGTAATGAATATCTCAATTATCCTGACTCCGTCACTAAACATTGCATGTATAAAAAGATCTCCATGCCTCACACAACTATATACAATTATGTATCAATAAAAAATTAGAAGAGTTGCAAAGATAAATTATAGAAACATACTAATAAAAGAAAAACAACACCGGCCAGGCATGGTGTCCCATGCCTGTAATCTTAGCACTCTGGGAGGCCAAATTGAGCTCAAGAGTTGGAGACCAGCCTGAGCAAGAGCGAGATTCTGTCTCTACTAAAAATAAAAAAAGTAGCCAGGGTGGCGGTCCCAGCTACTCAGGAGGTTGAGGCAAGAGGATTGCTTAAGCCCAAGATTTTAAGGTTGCTGTGAGCTATGATGCCATAGCACTCTACCCAAAATGAGAGAGTTAGACTCTATCTCAAAAAATAAAGAAAAAAAGAAAAGAAAACCAACAAATTCTTAGAAACCTTTAGTAGATTTCTTTATTGTAATGGTATGAGTTCTAATTCTCTTAATCAAATTCTAGCAAGAGATAGAAATGATAGCTGGTTATTATTTTTTTTGCAACATAATTGTTTCTTTCAAGAATAATAATACAGACATAAATGGATTGTTTTATGACAACTAAGTTGATGTAAAATTACCTCGTTTGGTTTGAGTGGCTTCTTACCTAATGTTGCCCAGCTTACAATTTGATTTATAAGAGGCAGTCCTTGTTTCTTGAGTAGACTACTATGGGTGCTATATACAACATACATGGAAAGCACTGTGTTCAGCATCTGAAAACGAGGTAAGACAGATTAAAAATAGAGAGAAAGGTAAAATGGTGAAAGAATAGTAGAAAGAATGCTTAGAAAACTACTAGAAACAATTAGAATTTGGACAAAATGCTATTACTATTAAAACTGGACCAGTTCTCCTTTTTGTGGCCAAGGCTAAGAGTTAGGACCTAAGAGTTAGGACTTCCAACCAAAAGTCCTCTTTTACAAGCATAAAATGAGCTATTTTATATTTTCAAGAGTGTTTTGCCATCATACATCATCACTCTGTTTGTACTTACAAGTATTCATCATAAACACTGAAGGCTTTTAAATCATGAAAATGAAGACGGTGAAATGTACACCGTTCAGTGTACGTGGTTTAGTGACTCCATCCTGATCCTCCCCCATGGTAATATCCATTTATTCATTCAACATATTTTTGTGGCTTATTTATATGGAACTGGGAATACAAAAAGTATAAATACTCTTCAGAGAATACTTAAACTGGTGCAGAAGCTGGCAAACTACAGCTTATATGCTGGTGGCCTGTTTTTAGAAATACCTATATTGTTCTATTGGAACATGGTCCCATTCATTTATGTGCTATCTACCTTGCCCTTCAATGACAGAGTTAACAATCTAGAGTAGACTCCATAAGGCCCCACCAGCCTAAAACATTTACTGTCTATTAAAAAAGATGGAGATTTTACATCTTTTGTATTAACCTGGTAAAGTATCTGAATAAAGTATTGCAGGAATAAAAAAGCAAGAGTCCAATGTGCTCAATCCTAATATGAAGCCAGTAGATGATCTAATATATACCCATACAAGAAAAAACTCAACAATCAATTCAAAGAGGGGGACAGGGGAATGAGAGAATGGGAGGGATGAGTCTTCTCTACTTAATGGGCACAGTGGTAGGGTGTATGTCACACCTCTTGGGAGCAGGACAAAATTATAAGAGTGACTTTATCCAACACATGCAAACATTGTAACCCAATCTTTGTACCCTCAATCTGAAACAATAGAAATAAATAAATAAATAAATATTTACTGTCTGGCTCTTTTAGACAAATGTGTTAAATTATGACTATGAACAAAGTAAGTGCTCTTAGAGATTAGGATAGCAATCTTGTTATCAAATCCCACAAATATAATTAATTTACTCATATTTTCAGTGTATTAAGAAGCAAAAATGTGGTTAATAAAGCTCTAATACAATCCTAGGATAATTTTAACTATAAGACACAGTTTTGTTCCAGAGATGTTAAATGTAAAAAAGATGTGCATTTTGGAACCAATAAAATATGAAAAGAAATACAGGAATTAATGCAAATTAATAAAGCTAATGCAAAAAAGAATTTTGTAATCAAGTTACCTAATACTCAGGGTTATGTCTAACAAAGCACATAAGAATTTTAGCATGATATTCTGTGCCCCTCTATCTATTCTCTATTACTATCCAAGAATAAATTTAACCTGTGATATCTTTTAAATGTTGCATATTTTTATTTCAAAGTCTTAGGAATTCTTTCTATTATCTTAGATTTGTTCTGAGGAAATTTTTTGAGAAGATTCACATGAGTTTTGCTTTTTGTCAGTGTTTTAGACGTGGTTCTCATTTATTCACTTAAAAGAAAAAAATAGGCTCAGCGCCTATAGCTCAACCAGCTAAGGCGCCAGCCACGTACACC